TAGCTTTGGAATGCAGAACAAGTGACTTTAAGAAGAGCGGATCGTGTGCCTTTACACAACTTCCCCCTTTAAGAAAATCTAGCGCAGCTTAAGATTTTGTGACTAAATTTAAGGGCAGGCGCCAAAGGATCCTTACAGTATTAGGCTCAACGGAGCGCAACATCAACTTAGCGCAAACTGCTATTCTAAATAACTAACATACGAACAACTAAACTACTAGAAACAAGAACAAATCATAAACGCGTAACAATGCTAATTGAGTCCTGGCGTTTACTCTTCTACCGTACGGCTGAGCAAGTCAGCTCCAACGTTCTCCGCTCCCGGAATATATATAGTCCTGAATCTATAGGGTTGAAGACTGAGGGCCCATCGAACGAGACGGCTATTACTTCCCTTGAACTTGTTAAGATAAACCAGTGGGCGATGGTCTACTTCAAGGACAAATTATTTTCCCATAAGGTAGAATTTAAATTTGTCAACGCCAAAGACAATTGCCAGGCATTCCCTCTCAATGGTGGAGTATCTTTGTTCGCGAGGCAGCAGCTTACGGCTCGCGTAAGCGATGGGACGAGGGACGTCTTCATGGTACTGAAGTAGCACGGCTCCTAGCCCTACCAGCGATGCGTCCGTGCGGAGGATGAAAGTTTTTACCACGTCCGGGAGAGCGAGGACAGGATCGCTAGCGAGGAGGGTTTTTAATGTTGCGAGATTCTCAGTGCAGTGTCTGTCCCAGAGAAGGGGTTCACGATAGGTTTTTCTCAACATCTCTGTTAGGGGTGCCGTCAGGGTAGCGGCCCCCGGGATGAATTTGCGATAGAAAGACACTACCCTATCGAAATTCGAAGACCTGTCAGCCGCTGGCACACGGACGCCCCAAGTTCTTATGGCAGGGTAAATTAGAAGCTCTATGTCCGCTTTAGGTTCCGCTTGCCGTAGCGAAATAAGCGCCGAAATGGAATCTTGTGAAATTACTCGTTGAGCTTGGGGCGATCTTGGGGCGCGCGTATTTGGTACCTGATACGTTCGGGACAGACACGGCCGAATATGAAAAATGCTTTAAAAAAATGCTCCCTCCCTTCCCCCCCTTATGGGGGGAAGGTCGAGGGGGCATTTCAATCTCTGTACGTTATATATATATGCAGTCTATATTGCACTATACTCGCTCAGTTTCAAGATCAGAGCAGTCTACCAGAGGCTCAATTTCATGCAAAGACGTTTACAGCTAGTAACTTTTATGACATGGCGTTGTTAGAAATGAGGGCAATAATCGCAAATAAAAAAATTCAATCGATACATCAAAAAGTATCCCTGATTCGAGGTAATGCAAGTCAAGCCAATTTCTCCTAATGCAAGTCAAGCCAATTAAATCCATGTATCCTACTGAATGAACAACGTTGTTTTTAAAATAATCGTTGAATTATTTGCCGTTTCATTTCATGTAACTTTCGTCTCATTAAATTTCTATAGAGCAAACAGTTCTGCAAGGGCCTCGAATTTCTGCGTTTATTGACGAAAGATCACACAATGGAACGGAGTAGCACATGTTAATCTTAACAAAATCTAGATACGGCACTAACTTGATTGCAGCTTTCAGTTGTTCACAGTTCACAGCAAGTGAGGATCTTTCTGCATCCATCGTCGGCTGCTGCAATGACAGTTGGTATTGACTTTCACATGTAGTTCTTTACAAGCATCTAAGTTATCAACTGCACTCCTAAATTCGTGGAGAGACAATCAAATAAATCGCGGAATGAACGATAGTTATGGAAATCCTCAAATCAAATATGTTGCTCACAGAGAGGCTCCTTGTAAAGTAAATAGTTCATAAGCTATCTTCTGCTTAAGCAATAAGCTCAAGCATGCAGACATATGCCCAAAGCTGAACAGTTCTTTGGTTGAAGAAACCATTCGTCTAGCAAAAAATTTTACAGGGGTCTGAAAATACTGCTTGCAACTTAAATAGAAGCAAAACACCCTACGTGGCCGACTTGCTCCTGATTCACCCCTAAGCCGAATATAGTTCCTCTAAAACGACCTTAATCGGCACGAAATTTTTGACAGGGTAGTCCTAGAAGTGACTTAAGGTTCTTCTTTGTAGTAGGTGGCTTTAGGGAAAGCAATGGCTTAATCTTGTCGTTCTTGGGAGCAACGGAATTCCGGCCAACGATGAATCCTAAGTAATGAGCCTCTTGGTAGCCGAAGCGGCACTTGGTGGGGCGGGCGGTCAGCCCGTGGTGCCGTAAACGTGCCAGGACGGAGGTCAGGGCCTGCAAATGGTCTTGCCAGGATACTGAATGGAAGAAAATGTTATCAAAATAAAAGCAGACATTAGTTAAGCCGTCCAACACTAGCCTCATGAGTGACACGTACGTGGCGCAAGCGCACACGGCGCCAAATGGCATACGAGTGAACTCCATCAAACCTCTATGGGTTTGGAAGGCTGACAATTTCATAGCTCGTTCAGTAAGTGAAATTTGGTAGTAGGCCTTAGTAATATCAATCTCTGAAAAAAATTGACAGTTCGCAAATTTATGAAGGTCTTCTTCCATTGAGCCAGTGGGCTCCGCTCGGAAGAAGGTAATTGAATTTAGGTATCTGTAGTCGACCGTGAGGCGAAACGACCCGTCAGGTTTCCGAACCATCACGACGGGGGATGAAAACGGTGACGTTGATGGTTGAATTATTCCCAAGTCTAACAGTTCATCCACCTCTTTCTCAAAGTGTGGCTTTAGGTGCACTGGGACGGGGTGCACCCTGGGAAGGACAAGATCTAAGTCTACAATCGGCCCTAGCGTCGAGTTTAGCTTTGGAATGCAGAACAAGTGACTTTAAGAAGAGCGGATCGCGTGCCCTTACAGTTGTCAACTGGCGTTGTGATGAGCATTAAAGCTCAAGCCCGCTCTGTTGAGACGCTCCGGCTCAGACGTTGAGTGTGAGCGGTGCAGGGGAATGGTTTGAGTGACGGCTTTGAGCAGCGAAGGAAAATCTGGACGGTCGCGAGGATCGATGCTCCAGCAGTGCCCTAAAATCTCCTGGAATTTTACGAGCATGATAATAATTGACATAAAACTAAATTTTAATGATGATTTTTTGATCGAAAATAAATTTTTTTCCTTCTTCTAATTTACTATATTTCTCTACTTACATTTTTTTCCTTAATATGTTTATTCTGAATAAAACGTGAAGGTAAAATTTTAATAAAAAAATTGAGTATTGACCATAAAAATATTGACTTAAAAATTTTAAGTGATATATTCTGTGTCCAAAATAAGGAAAATTCTATTTAAAAATTACTGTTGACTTTTTTCTCGTTGAAAATTTACCTTAATGGCCATTGAGCAATGGAGGTGAGAGGTGCTGTGTTTTCTGCCGGTGCCTACAAAGTATATAAGTTCATGCGAACACAATTCTGAGAACGGCGGAGACTCGTTGAACAGTTCGAACATCAACGCACCGAACATGTATACGTCTGAACTCTGCGTCGCCGGAACTGTGATGCGCACCAGTGACGTCGTAACGTCGATCGAATGAATCATCTGAAAAATGATGGCGTCGTGACATCTAATAGATATGTAGCAACACAAATAAAAGGTAATTCACAGAAGCTTCAGCAAGGTAAAAGTTACTCGTAGCGTGTTATTTTTGGAGATTTTAGCACATATTCTAGACTGATTAAGAAATTTGAAGAACTATAGAAATGAGAATATGCAGCTGAATTATTATGATTCCAATTAATTGAAATTTATTGTTGGTTTGAATTCTGAAAAAAAAAACATGATGAAATGATGATTTGTGCCTCAATTAGTATTTCACAAACTAATATGAGAATACATGGATTTTTTCAACTGAGAAAAGGAAAATTGCAGGCATTTTGTACAAATCTCTCATCAAATTTAGAAACGTACGCCTTCTACTTTCAACGGATCAGAAACCGCGATATGGAAAATACAGGGTGATTCACGGATACTTCATGAATTGAAAGCTCAATCAAAAAAGTACTAGTTAAGATATTATTACACTACAAATGTTATTGGAAAATACATAACCTAAATTTTTGTATCACTTATTTTTAAAGATGGCATCGAATAAATGACGGTCTCCATTGTCAATGCATTCAGTCAGTTAACTTTGGAGTTCCGTTCAACTCGCTGAAGCATATTGACGGGTATGCTGAGGCGATGGCTTGGCGTATGTTGTTCTTCAAATGAGGTAGGGTCCTTGGACAGCCATTGTAAACAATTGATTTAAGATAATCCCATAAAAATTCACAGGGAGCCAAATCGGGGATCGGGCCGGCCAAAGAAGGTCATCTCTCAAGGAGATGAGGCGCTCTGCAAAATGTTGGCTCAGAAAGGTGTGGAGAACGCAGAAGCTCCGCTCTAACTCTCTCTAGGTTTTCCGAGTGTCGTGGCAGTCCGCCGGCCTCCAGACCCTCTTGCATCTACACTTACGGAATGATTGTTTATGTTATAGCGGTAATGGAACGGCCATTATAACAGTACTCCTGGACAGCAAACGCACGCTGCTCACATGTCCCATGCATGTTGGCAACTGACTAGGCGAGACACTAAACTTTATGACCTTGCCATTCATATGAAATACTCCTCGTCCTTTTCGTACAACTGACTGTCTGGCGCGAAATAAAAAAATATGAAATATGGGGCCGCCGCTCACTCACTCAAATATCCTTGAATCTCATTGTAGTAACGAATTATAGTAACTGCACCAGCCAATTAGAGACGGCTATTCAAACTTAAACCACCAATCACAGGTGGTAAATTGACCGCTACGTGTACTTAGACCGCTACGTGTACTAAGACCGCTGTATGTACTTAGCGCGCTACGTATACCTAACCGCAACGGGTACTCAGACCCCAATGAGGACTTTGGCCTTTTCTTTAGGTTGGGTGCCACGTGTACCTAAGCAGCTACGGGTAGTTAGACTGCTACGTCCACTTAGACCTCTACGCGTAAATTTTTATAATACGGCCCTAGACGTATTAGGCTTCACTAATCTCAGGGGGAAGATAGTTGAGGAGGTGACGAGGTATCCTGGCAGGCCCAGGCGTGACGTCCTCTTCAACCATACTGTGGTCAAAAACACTTAACTTAATTTTAGCTTCGAGGAAGACATTGCGGGAATTTAGATGACCGTGAACGATATCTCGGGAGTGAAGGTAAGACATGGCCTGAGAAACCTGGAATGACATTCAATATTTTAGTTATTGCTGTTATAATCCACTACAGAAAATTATTGATAAAAAATTATTTTGAGATTTTGTCTTTATAAGTATTTAACGGCTATTGATAAAATGGGTTATATTCACACCTAAGAAAAATGACTAAAACAATTAAGATGATTTTAATATTCAAGAATTCAGCATTACTACAAGCAGAACCATTAAACGAAATTGTACTGTTGCTACAGCTTAGAGATACAAAATATATTAGTCACGCTTTTTACTGTCCTATTTTGCTTATAGAATTGAAATGTCCTCGCCCAACTCAAATACACGAAAGTTAAAGAAATTAACTGCCAACTATGATGAATTTAGTTAAAGCTATTAAGAAGGCAGTCAATTTTAACTTGATGTTAAGTCCTACACCAAGCTAACCGCGGTATAACTGACTTAGTTCATGAAATACTGTATGCTATGGCTAAACATCTGGCGAGATAATAGCATTTAACCGCGTAGACAAAGTGCTGTGTTGCTTGATCAGAAAACCAAATATATTAGGGTTTTTTTAAAGAACTAAATTGCTGAACAAAATATTCAAAGACAATTTCTCCTCGATAGTAATTCACTAGCCTGTTTAGCAACGGCTATTCTAGAGGAGTAAGGCGACGGAGGTCTCGTGAGACTGTGATGGTAGAGCGACACGCCGCGCCTGGGTCCTGTGACCACCGCGAGCTGGGGTGGCTTGACGCAAGCTCCCATGAACAGCTCGACGTTCTCGTGACGTATCAGCGCCAACACCGTCACCAGGCGGTCGAACTGTTGACGAGCGGCGCTATCATCACCGTCGAATGTGTGTATCATCACGTCGCCGTGCCACCGACCTCTGCAATAAACAATGTAACGTCAATGCTACTCAGACGGTACAGCCTTTGTGTCGCCGGCTTTTCAACAGAAACGATCTATGTTATATTCAAAACTGAATTTGAATAATTAATAACTTTTCAATGGCGAGCGATAAATTATGTGCAGTATCATTCGAGTGGCGACATATGGGTAATAATGTTGAATAATGCAAGATTTGAAATTCCCAAATTGTATTAAATAAAGAAAGTTCCGGTTAACTAATTCTCTTGAAGGTGGTTGAATGGAGCGGACAAGGTTTTGATAGGTTTGGTCTTGCAAGTTCAGATAATCAAAAAGTTCTGGAGATGGCGGCAGTAGCAGAATCGCGTAAATACGTGCTGGGACGCACGTAAACTGAGCGACGTCGCCCCGGGTTGTTCTGAGACAAAAGATTAATTAAATATAATTGAACAACAGTCGACTATGATAAATAAAGAAATTCATATAATCAAACTGGCAAAAAATGAATAATGCAAAGGTGAATTTAATAATGAATTTTTACCTTTAATGAATAATCCACTTATGAGGCTGTTGCCAGATAAAGGAAGTTGACTTTGGAGTTAATTTAAAAGATATTAGCCCTGGTCGTAAATAAATCTTAATAGCATGCGGTTAATGTAAATTAGTATTTTATATTGATAATTAAAGGGATAAACTGGGCTAACAAAGAAGTGCAAGGCATGCGATGGGGATGATAATGGAGTAAGAAAGGAAGAAATGCAACTAAGGACACGTTCGCTGTACTAACGACTGCCCTTGGCAGTCTAATCCCAAATTAAAAGGTAAGGCGAGAAGTTATCTCTTTCTTCAATTGAAGAAGTATGGAAAACTTAATTTAAAGTTTAACTTTCTAATTTCCCTAAATTTAATAATTCAAAGACCATTTCTGATAACTAACGGCAATTTCTATGAAAGCTTCTTATTTCAGTCGGTGAAAATTCAGTGAACGCAAATCCAGATCAAACTCATAGAAGATGCATAATCACTAACCTGTAAATTTTTGTCGTAGCACGACAAAACTTGCTACCTCTTAAGACATTCCCAAATCGTAACTTATCCCACGGAATTGTCCATTCGGACAAATGATCTGAATTATCCGGCTGAATTGGACCCGAAGATCCAGAATCGCGTCTTTCTTCGATCACACAAGGTGGAACTCGAATCTCCACAGGTTCTTCTTCTTCAAATCCGCTCTCCTCACCGGTGCTCCCTTTTTTGCTCCAAGAACCGTGTTTACTAAGCCTCCTTCGTCCAGGCTCAAACTTGAAACAAGGCTCGTCTTCTTGACTAACTCTTCTTTCTCGAATGAGACGGGATCTCTTTTCCGATGCTTGAGCAGAATATCTGCCATCCACATTACCTTTCAAAGGCTCGCAAGGAAGACTCATCCTGGCGTGAGAGGGATGTCGATATGGACATAACTCGAACGATCTCCTGAAAGCAGGAGTTATAAGTTTCCTGTTGGCAGTTGGTGTTGGCTGCGAAGACATGTTTGGAGATGAATATCCACTTTCTTCTGCAAGCAAGGTTCGTCCTTCTTCTAATGAACCTCCAATTCTTCTTGACATTAATGAGAGTCGGCTTCTGGACGCTTGCAGATCTTTTCTTTTTTTCCAAAAAAAAAAGAAAAAGAAAAGAGTTTCTTTTCTTTTTCGGTCCAAACCCCGTAGACGCTTCTCGCGTGTTGCTCAGTGGTCAGTCGTGTTGTTCGTGGTTGATTTTTCCTCCCTAACCTCTCTGAAAGACGCGCATACAAACGTTGAAAAATAGCTATTAAAGAATCCTTCTCATCTTCGAAAAAATTCTTGGAGGCGAACTACAGGGGATGGAGGAGGAGGATTAGGAGCAGCTGCAGCTCCTGGAGAAGATGGGTTAGGTGACGTGGGAGTTTTAGGTTTTGGTAGGTGGGGCATGTGGGGCATTAGGCTTGGGGTCGAATGCAATGAAGTTGAAGGATGAGAAGTTGAAGGCAAGGACGTAACAGAAGTGCGCGGTGATGAAAAATGAACGGATAGAGAGTGACGTGGAGATGACGATAATGGCAAGAGTGCACATGGTGAGGATGGGGAAAGGGAGTGGGATCTAGATTCTCTTAAATGTGAAGAGGACAGGCTGGCGTAAGTGGTAGCCTGCACCGCTGTCGTGGACAAGGGCTGACTTGGGTCTTCCTCGAGCGATGGTAAACGCAGGGACGGTGACCGCCCAGTGAGCCGAGGGGTGGTCGCGGGGGTCGTGAAATATTACAAATATTATCGATACTATATCGGCATGATATACCTCAGATAGAAAATTGCTTAGCAAAAGATGCAAATGATCGAGACCCGCGCTAATTTATTATAAGCATCCTACACGAGTGGAAATATGAAGAAACAGGATTTAATGTTCAATTCTTATATGATTTCATTTCTAAGTTGCAAAAATACATTACTGAACAAGTCGAAACTTATTACTGAAATTTAAATATTCTGTTAAGTCCGTAGAGTCAGTCAATCAAACGAAAAATTTTCCCGACAGAGCAAAGTGAAAATCTTTCTTTCACAAATCTTTTAACTCCTGAGGAGAAATAGGACAAGTCTAGAGAAAGAGCAAAATGTCGTATACCTGCGATAATATGAGATAAAACCTCATATTATTATCATCTTCTCATCGGCTGCCTGTACGACTGATGGAGTACCTATTCGTTTTCAAAAACTGTACCTATGGAGTACCTATGGAGTACCTATGGAGTACCTATGGAGTACCTATGGAGTACCTATGGAGTACCTATGGAGTACCTATGATGGAGTACCTATTCATATTCAAAAAATGGAGAATTCAGGAATTATTTTTGACGTATGAGAGCAAGCATGGGTAACTTGCCTTTATAACCCTGAATAAAAAAATCAAAAATAAGCATTAATTACAATTTTGCCCCATAAAGCTAAACAACGACATCATATGATAAATTTTAATAAAATCTAAAAATTCACAGCACTATAGTGACGCAGAGCTTAAAGCAACTCTCGTTTTGCAATTGCTGGCGCAACAACAGGTGTACAACAACAACAGGTGTACAACAACAACAGGTGTACAACAACAGGTGCACAACAAGAGGTGTACAACAGGTGTACAACAGGTGTACAACAGGTGTACAACAAGAGGTGTACAACAGGTGTACAACAGGTGTACAACAAGAGGTGTACAACAAGAGGTGTACAACAGGTGTACAACAGGTGCACAACAACAGGTGTACAACAACAGGTGTACAACAACAGGTGTACAACAACAGGTGTACAACAACAGGTGTAGGAGCTCAGAAACCAGGCAAGTCGAGAGCCACACCAAGCACCTCTCTCAGCCACGTCCTGCGAGCGACAGATCAGAGATCCTACAGTGTAAAGGATTATATTTGAACTGATTATACCCGGGGCTTTAGGACTGTTTTAGTGGTGTTATTTATTATACCGGGGGTTTTGTTGCTATAAAAGCAGTTCTGTTCATTATATCAGAGTTTATATTGCAATATTTCATGATGAGGGAATGTAAGGTTGAAGCGCGGTTGCTGAAGTTAAAATATTAAATTGAGAAATTCAATGTCATCAGAAAAGCCAGACAGGCAGGTGATGAAAAGTACTCTATTATATTTGAACTAATAAACTAATGACTTTTGATGATCGAGCAATTTTAATATTAAAAAGTGAGAAAATTTTCGTGTAATTAACTTTAAAATAATTGGAAATCACAGTTTTTTTGAGCGGCCCTACGTTTTACTTGGTAGTAATTTTAATAATATATTTTTTCTAGATTAGATTTGTATTCCTGAACTTAGTACTTTTATATTTTATTAACAATAAAGACAATTAATGCAGCAGTACTTAAATTACGACAATGCCACCAGTTACTACTTGATTCTAGCCTAATAAAAGTAAGGCATTCTGATTTCATTGTATCCTCTATTAATATAAATGTTTAATAACTTTTAAGATATCCTGATCATAAGTTCTGATATAACTTATCAAATTTATTAAGAACTCTAAATTTAATTTTAGGACTAATTATTGTGATTAATCTGCAGAAACGCTTAACTGTATTTAAATTTTGCCCTATATAGGAAGATCATGCCACTTGAAACATGTCACTAAGATGTCACTGGAACTGCAGGACAGTGCCCCGACTCTCAGTTCGCGCGCCTCAACGGCAGGGAATGTCTGCCTGCCATCCTCCGGTGTGATGGAGGCCCTGACTGCTATGACGCCAGTGATGAGCGAGATTGTACCCAAGGTATTTATTGATGAGAATCATCATGAACATAGTGATGACGTACGTACACTGTGGCGATGAAAACTGGTACTCGAGATTTCGGTAACAACTGTAATCAACGCTCAAAGGCCTGTATTTATTGTGACTGAAAATAGTGAATTAAGATTTTGAGCAATTAAGCAATTTAATTGAATTAAGCAATTTAAAATAAATCTTCTTCAAAACATCGAGTCATATCTGATTGTGAAAATGTTGTCTATTTCTGTGTTTCATCAGAGCTTTGCCAGGGCTTCTTGTGCCGGAACGATTCCACCTGCATCACCACATTGCAAGTCTGTGATGAGACTGTTGACTGTCGTGATGGATCTGATGAAAGTGAATGTAAGTTTTGGCATTAGAACCATTGAATAATTAAGGCCTTCTCCTGTAAATAGGACTTTTCAAGATAACTAAGGCTTTTACTCACTGAATAAATTGCAATAAATTGCACAATTGCCTCAATGAAATCGATCTAGTTTTATAACTTTCCCTGTTCTAGCGATGCACAATTATACATATCATTATTCACTTTCAATCCTGCTGGTAGATCCTGCATTTTTGTACTCTTTGTTCGTGTATGACACAGTTTATACAATCGCATTTCATAATTATAGAAAAATAATTGATATATATGATAAGATTGTCGGATAACTCTGAATTTTGAATATCTTGCATCATCTGATCAAATACACTAACGTTTCAAATTTCACTCTGTAACTGAATAATCAGTATCTTTTGTGGTAATAAAATTGCAAGAAGACGGAAGACAATTTCACAGAGGGAGTGAAGCACAGAAACGAAATAAATAACCATAAATTATCAAGGCCTAACCCGTTACGTTCTATGTCCTTACGTATGTTGCGTCGTGAATTATATCCTCTGTTGAATTATATCATCTGAGACATTTATCAAACTTTATATGAACCTAACGAAACTTTATCAAATGTACCATTTTTGGAGCGTATTGGACCCATGTTCATCGAAATTTTGCAGGTCTGAATGAATGAATTGCTAACGAAGGAGAATATTATGCACACAGGTTCATGTCGAGATAGCTACATGAAATGCGACAACGCGAGATGCATGCCTGAACGTTTCCGATGCGATGGCGACAACGACTGCGGTGACATGAGTGATGAGCGCAACTGCAGTGTATCTACTCCGTCTCCTGAAGGAAGTGAGACCAACTTTCCAGATCAGCAGTCGTTGGGCTGCATTCGATATGATGGGAGAATCACATAGGTTTTAACAAATTAGAAAGAGTTGAGGTGCAAATGATGACCTAATGATTAACTCAGCTTCTGCAGGTGATTCTTAGGTATTGGTCTAACTAAGCAGCATTACTTGGTTTATATGTGATTTTTATTCGCAAAAACGAGAGCCACGAATAGGAGAATAATGGTAAATTTTGCTTCTTGAAATGTTCCTAACACGGATCGGAAAGAAAGAAGATATCAGTGCTGGCTGATATCTCTCCTTCATGTTAAACTGAATTTGATAGGTGCCTATTTGGGTCTGATATGGCTTACCTGTCGCAAATTGGTTCATGTTAGAGGAGTAACTAGGACCGTTATAAGACATTTTAACAGTTTGATTTAGACTTGCAATCTGGTTGCGGGTCTTATCTTCCAACATATATTCAGTTTTCAAAAAATATAACCGATAATTGAAAACGTATTGAACATTTTTTTAGATGCTTCCATAACGTATCAATCTCACTTTAACAACTTCTACGGCTTGCTGCCTGTCCTCTCCTAGCGATTGTAATATGTTTCACTCGTTCGCAACCGTCCGTGAAAGCACCTCACTAACTGCCTGTCCCCTTTCTCTTTTCGATGATCAAGTTTTTAAATCAAATTAAAACCATAATATCAGCTACCATACTATTATTATTCACTGTTTTTTTTAGAAATTTTCATCGTTTTATAAATCTTTTTTTTTAATGACATGTTGATATTTTTGTATCAAATTTCAAGATAACTAATATAAAGATAATTGAATGAATTTTTGATATCTAACTCATCCGTTTAATAATTCAGACTGCAGCAACGACCAATACTCCTGTGCAAACGGGAGATGCATCAGAGGAAGCTACGAATGCGACGGCGACAACGATTGTAATGACTGAAGCGATGAACGGCACTGTGAATGTTGTGAATGTGCAATATTTACACCACATATTATGGTAATATTTTATTCTAAACAATAAATAGCGTTGCACGAATAAATAGTTTTTCAATAGCGGGGTCTTGAAGAAGGTATGAAACAGTTCCGATGCCAGCAAATGCAAAAAGTTGGAAAATGTCCGTAACATATTTTTGGTAACCTTAATTCAATAATAAAACAAAATCCTTCAAGTGTAATATGCTAAACATTGTTCTGTTTTTTAATTAGTAACTCTTTTAGACTCGTTATTTTAATGATAAGTTGTGTGTTAGGCGCGTGTTCCTCGGAACAGTTCAAGTGCGAGAACACCGGCCGTTGCATTAGAAGGGCGTATCGATGTGACGGAGATAACGACTGCGGCGACGGCAGCGACGAGCGCGACTGTCCGGGGTCATCGTCATCCAACGCAAGTACGTTAGAGAACTTTCTTATTAAGATCGTGCTATTGATATAACAAATCTTATGGTGTAGAATATTAGATTTAAATATGTTTTGTTAAATGTTGTGCTTAAGCTACTTAGGTCATATGGTATGATCAACGGATAGGCTTGGATGCATATTATTCGAATATTTTCAGAATTACGTGATGAAATCAATACATTATGAAAAGCTTTTAGTTTATGTTTGAGTTAACAATATTAAGGCAGTGTTATTTCTCTTTGGGTCGAATCACTTTAAACATAAGCCTAAGGCTTCGAACGGGTGTATGTTTTTTTCAGTTTTTTTGGCACGGTTCACCAACTCTTCGGTATACTAGCGAAAATTTTGATGTAACTGCACCATTATGTCCCAAATCATCTTATACATTAAATAATTGTCTATATGATACAGGTTGCAGCAGCGCAAAATATTCCTGTGCAAACGGGAGATGCATCATAGCAAGCCACGAATGCGACGGCGACAACGATTGCGGCGACTGGAGCGATGAACGGCACTGTGAGTGACGTGAATGTCGTGAATGTCCATAATCCCAAACAGGCATAATACTAATAGACACATTCAAATATAACAAAAGACCACGTGTGATTGAAATTATTGGTGGTAGGAAAAAGTTTGAAGGAGAAAGGTGTTTGAGCCCCGAATTTTTTTTTCCTAAAGCGCATATAAGCGCAGTTTACGTAGCGTCAGGAGCCACGTAGATATAAGTGGAACTCTACCTTCATAACTATGCGTAGTTCTGCGTAGTTTAGGCCATAAAATATGCAAAAAGCTGCACAGTAATATTTTAGATACGTTGAACTATGAGAAATTTGGTATTTCTCTTGTTACTGGTGAAGTGTGAAAAATTCTACGACTGTCTGAGGGTCTCAGTGCAACTAAAAAAACTAAATTTTTTTTGCGACTTTGGCACTTTAGCAGGGTAACAATTACATAGAGTTCAACTCTCATTTTTTGGTATTATGAAAAGTTCGAGTTTTTTGCAATGTAAGAAGATGCCGCATGAACGATTGAAACCTGAAAATCTGTTAAATTTTTATCCTAAGTCACTCTCCAGTTTCGCCGTTGAGGGTAACAACGTTTTACTCTTCACCATTAATTTGTTCCTCACTACCGGAAACAAGTTTTTGATTGCATCATCACGAAAGTTTTGATTTTAATTCGTTACAGGCGAGTGTTTCTCTGAATATTTCAAGTGCGAGAACACCGGCTGTCTTGGACTGAATTCGAGGCTACCTAAATCTTCTCTTTTCAGCCAAGTAACGGTGAACCCAAGGACAGTAAGTAAGACATTCTTGATACTCCAGGTTTACTGCCGGAAAGTTCGACCGCAAATCTGCGCATAATAGAGCAGATGTAATACTCGAAAAAACAACATAACTTTTAATCGCACTGAAAGTTAACAAATACCAAGAAATTCGTTATACATAATCGATGGATAGGTACTGAAACTTGCAAAAAAGAATATTCCTATAGAAGATGCAGATCTCATTTACTGTCTTGGACTGAATTCGAGGCTACCTAAATCTTCTCTTTTCAGCCAAGTAACGGTGAACCCAAGGACAGTAAGTAAGACACTCTTGATACTCCAGGTTTACTGCCGGAAAGTTCGACCGTAAATCTGCACATAATAGAGCAGATGTAATACTCGAAAAAACAACATGAACTTTTAATCGCACTGAAAGTTAACAAATACCACGAAATTCGTTATGCATAATCGATGGATAGGTACTGAAACTTGCAAAAAAGAATATTCCTAAATTTAGGCTGGCAACAATCTAAATATTTCATCTATGCCTAAATAATGCAATCATGACAGCAGTAGCTTAGAAAACAAAGACAAGCATTACACTTACGAGATGTGGCACGTCGATCCTATTCATCAGTTCGATTGGTCGCTAACAATTGACTGTTACATTGAAACAACATCAAATTTACGCACGTCTGGACAGAAAGAAGATGGAGATTCGGTTACACGATAATGGCCGACAATAAGTAAAACAAAGAAAAATCAAAAAAGCTACTATTGCATTTCACAATGCATTACCAGGTTTATCAAGATCAAACAAGCACTAACACAAGACACAGTGAAACAAAGACTTGATATGGACAAAGAATGAACTGGATTTCTAGGCAATGAATTAGCTACACATCTTATGCTAACGCAGGAGTTTCGTCACCACTAAAATGAGACGCCGCATGCTGCACGCTGGCGAGCGGAAGTAGAGCTGGGCGGATGGTTCTGGTTCTGAGAGAAGGCAGAGCGCTGTAAACCCTAAACTCCAATAGTTTAACTCGCGCGACGCGACACCGGCCGTTGCATTAGAAGGGCGTATCGATGTGACGGAGATAACGACTGCGGCGACGGCAGCGACGAGCGCGACTGTTCTGGGTCATCGTCATCCAACTCCAGTACGTTAGAAAACTTTTTGAATAAGATTGGTCTATTAGAACAACTCTGATGCTGTAGGATCATATATAACTTTTTAGAATGAATTGATTGATACATTTGAGATGCAATTCACTCAAATTTGAGTTTCTAATCTTGTGGCGGAGTTTCTCTCTTCTGGTCGAATCACTTCAAACAGAATCCCAAAATTTTTACACGACTCTTATGATTTCTTTAGCTTTATTGTGATGGTAACCTATTCTGAACATTGTTATACTAGCGAAAATTTTAATGTACCAGCATTCATCTTGTATCTTTAATTAATTTCTACGTGATGTAGGCTGTAACAGCGACCAATACTCCTGCGTAAACGGCAACTGCATCACAGGACGCTACGAATGCGACGGCGACAACGATTGCGGCGACTGGAGCGATGAACGGCACTGTGAGTGACGTGGATGTATAGAATTCCAATTAATCATAATATTCACAGAAATTTAACAAACGATCACATATGAGCGAAAGAATTTGATGCATAAAAATTAAGCATCATTATTCTTAGAAGCCTGAGAATTTTTTTCCAAAGGAAGAAATTAGGGCAGTTCGCTTGGTAGCAGTAGTAATTCTCTCGCCCTGAACGAAATCCTTGGTTATCGACTTATCCCAAAATCTTCCTTACTTTTTTATTCTCAGCAGTCACGATAAAAGTAGAACAGCTCATTTCGCAATACGGCTCAACGAGGGAGATTAAAAGCCTCAGTGATTACTTAGCTTGTGATCGAGGGAGATAAAATGATAGAATGAGATCTCTCACGTATAAATTATATTGATTACTGAGCCCGAATCGCAAATACGGGAACAAACATAAGGTTTTTTGATGGTGCAAGTAATGGTCGCACCTGTACACGAATTAGTTTCAACTGGGGCATCTCAAGTTGTAATTGTTGTTGATTAGGTAATGTTTTAATCCTGTTATTCATTATTATTATGCAATTATGTTGATAGTAAACATCTACGGCAAATGTTGCTATCATTTTTCTTTACAAAAATGACCTTTCAGTTTGTAATATAAATAGTGATCGAATGATGAAAATCGTGGTGGCCAGTATATTAATTAGCAGATTTTACCTTGTTCTCATATAATTTCTGTATATTGTGTGTCTCTTTGCGCCTTCCGCGTCACAGTCGTGTCAAGCTATAGGTGTTCCCGGCATTGTTTCAAATCTTACTAGCTAGGAGTTCTCATCGCATTCAAAATCCCATTGCGACCGATTTGTGGGTGTGAAATGCCAATCTTAAAGAGTGGAGCAAATAGGGAATTTTCATCGAACCGAAACTCGATTGACGCCACAAGGTGTGATTGACGCCAAAATGTGTGTGATTGACGCGAAAAGGTGTGTGATTGACGCCGAAAGGCGTGTAATTGACGCCAAAATGTGTGTGATGGACGCCAAAATCTGTAAGATTGATGCAAGAAGGCGTGTGATTGACGCCAAAATGGGAGTGTTTGACGCCAAATAATTGTGATTGACACAATATGATGTGTGATTGATGCCGAAATGTGTGTGATTGACGCCAAAATGTCTGTGAAGGATGCCAAAATGTGTGTGATTGACACTAAAATGTGTGATTGATGCCAAAAAAACGTGGCAGCTGCGGTTTAATGCTGACAAGTGTAAAGTACTTCACCTCGGGAAGAACAATGAGCAGCAAGATTACAGTATGAGAAGACATGGCTGCAACGAGAGAGTAATGATTGAAAAGTCTAGTGTGGAAAAAGATCTGGGAGTTTATGTCGACAAGGAGCTGAAATTTTCTAAGCATGTTGAAACGCAAGCTAACACATCCAACAAACTTCTTGGACTAATCAGACGCTCATACGAGTTCCTAGATGCAGAAGCGATGAAGCAGTTGTTTGTTGCTGTCGCGCGCCCGAATCTAGAGTTTGGAAACGTTGTGTGGTCACCGAGATTTTAAAAGGACAGAAATTTATTAGAGAATGTTCAAAGACGTGCAACAAGGATAATTCCAGGCTTGAAGGCCAAGTCCTATGAAGAAAGATTGAAGATTATGAAGCTTCCAAGCCTCATGCAGTTATCGACGTCTGCGCGGGGACCTCATTGAAGTATACAAGTATACTCATGGTCTATACAAGGTCCCCGAAGGATTACTAGAATTTGAAACAAGAACCAACACCAGGGGCCACGGCTATAAGCTAAAAAAACGGCGCTGCAACTTCTCCACGCGACAAAATTTCTTCTCGCTTCGAATCACCGACATGTGCAACAGCCTCCCCAATGATATCGTTGGCGCTCCAAGTATGAACGCGTTCAAGAACAGACTAGATAAAGCTATGGAAAAATATATGTTCAGATTTGAAATGCCTAGCACCTTATCGAACTCGGTGGAAGTCTAGCAGCTATTTCAAACTATCGTCAGTCATGAAAAGATCCGGTCAAATGGCACGATTTTAGATCTTCTGTGAACAAGGCACGAAAAGAAAAAGAATCGGCGACAGGCCACATCAGGCCTACACTTCAGCGCCGAGATCACTATGTTAAAATGTGTATGATTGGCGCCAAATGTGTGTGATTGACGCAAGAAAGCATGAGATTTACGCTACCTATTTAATTGGGTTCACCTATTTAATTGGGGGCAAAATTTTTACCTAATTATATAATTACTTCCGACCTCGCGTCGCGCTTTGAATTTCCCGAAACAAAGACTGATTTTATAAATCACGCTAAAAATTTTTATTTCGCTGACACTTGCACTTCGATATAGCGTGTTTGACTGTGAACCTCAGAAATCTATGGTATGATGTTCGGTCCAATGTCATCAAACTGGTTTATTCAGAACATGGTTTGGGCGGTAGAATAAGAATGCATTTAAGAAAAAAACTTTCAGAACTGTTTTTGGTACAATAGTAGATGCGCCCACAAGGGTAGCAGGTTGCGTCGGCATGAATCGACATGAAATGGCTGCTATATGGCGGTACTTTCAGCAGAAAAAACGAAAAATTCAGCTCTGGGATAGAGCTGAAAATTAAAATTGTTGAGACGTTAGATCGTCATGTACGTATATCTGTAAATTTTTAACTCTTAAAGGTTCTCGTTTTAATTAATAAGAATAATATACTATTTAACACACAAGTAGATGCTGCCTGAACTTTTTCCCCTGCGCAAATACCCAAACCTCAGCGTCTCGAGATTTTTCGTCCGATGAAAAAACAAAAATTACACTCCACCCTTACGTGCAAGTCGCCAATTTTTGCTTCTCATTACCGCATACAAAGACTCACAAGCAGCAATGCAATAATTTTTTGTTTCAATTCCTCCGATGCAGGCGCGTGTTCCTCGGAACAGTTCAAGTGCGAGAACACCGGCCGTTGCATCAGAAGGACGTATCGATGTGACGGAGATAACGACTGCGGCGACGGCAGCGACGAGCGCGACTGTCCGGGGCATCGTCATCCAACGCAAGTACGTTAGAAAATTTTCTGAATATGATTGGTCTATTAGAACAACAAAACTTTGATGTTGTATGATTTTATTAAACCTTTTGTTAGAATCTTACGAGTGTTGCTCTCTTCTGGTTGAAACACTTCAACAGAATTCCAATATTTAGACTCGACGTCCATGTTTTCTTTAGCTTTAATGGCATGTCTCACCAACTCTTAACATTGTCACAATATGCGTTTCCATTTTCCATCTAAAATTCAACTGAAAAGAAAAGCCTCATCAGATGAATTCGTTGATTCCTTGAAACAAATTTGGTTTGTCGTTTGCTCCTCAGTGTGCTACATTGTTTCAATTATTATCATATTATCATGAGTAATTAATCTTATTTGGGAATTAAGAATAATATTTAAAAATAAATGTTCACGATGAATCTTATTAATAAGGATCTCATGTCTCCAGGTATTGGCGTTTCATGTTGCACGAATAATCCTAACATAACCCCCACAAGGGGGTTTTATGCATCTCCCGTTTTAAACAAGACAATGATTTTTGAGCATTTAGTTACTCTGATTAATTTTTTACCGTAAGGCACAGACAGTAGCAGCAACCTATATTCCTGTTCAAACGGGAGATGCATCAGCATCACAGAAACTTCTGAATGCGACGGCGACGACTGTAACGAATCGAGCGGGCAACGGAGCTGTCAGTGTTGTGAACGGGCTTTGAAAAAATCAATTGTAGTGTATTCATGAATTTTTTAAAACAATCTCGTTCGATTGAAATAAATTGAAATACCAAGCTGTGAACCTAATTCACAGGATTGTTAGTTTCCCGCAGGTATCTACATAACGACCTTTTCATTCTTCGCCAAGCTTTTAAAAACATGGATAGTTGGAACTCGTACTGTCTAATTTGTAGCAAATAATGGACTGGTTCTTCATATGGTATTTAATATTCATGCATAAATCATGATAAGTGACTATAGCTCCAGTTCGATGCATCGCTTTTACATAACAATTCATTATATGCAACGAATAAACCTTGAGTCAACTGCTCACAATAATTGAGTCACTGTTTGATTAATTCGTGGCCAAAATGAAGGAATAAAACCATTTTAGTCTGAAATATAATTAATCGTCTCTGGAATATAATTAATCGTTTCCGCCTTACTGCAGAGTTCTCTAAAGCTTTCCCATCATCGAGAGTCAAGTCAGATATATTTTACATGAGCATCATTAACAGATAACATAAACTCTATCAAATTTTTAGCCAGCTATGACATGAAATGACTGAAATACGTCGCTTGTTTGAAAATCATATTAAGTCCAAATGGCAAATCAGTGCTATTCGGACTATTTTCCTCATGGCAGTGAGATTGAGATTCAATACTCAGAATAATAATTTCAGAAATCAATTGAAATATATCTTGAAACTTTTGTGCAAATTGTTGTAGACAATATTTGTTTGTAGCCGATGACACTTCATGTCCTCGTAATTTCGAGCGAGTGGCGGACAAGTGCTTGATGTATCTGAGCGAGGAGCAGACATGGCGCTCTGCTGAGGACACTTGCAGATCCAGAACTGGTCACCTCGTCACCTTCGCCGACGTGGACGAGCTCATCTTCGTGCTGCGATTCCTCACCCGGCCTGGTGAGTCGTGCAACTCCAGCAAGACCTTGAAAACCCTGAGGGTTCACTACCAACAAGTCTCGTGTACAGGCTAATCCATATGTTAGGGTCATTACCATCGGGTCTCATGTAGACTCATTCATACTTTCGTCTAATGTAATTTGGTTGGTAAATCCCTCCTTGCAATTCGTCGCGAAGATTCAATATGTTCCTTATTAAGATTCGTGGTGTGCAACGTGTTTTGTCGACTTGATTGACAAAATTCTTGGTATGCGATAAAAAAATCGTACATGTTTCAATGGCCTTTCACGTTGTAACTTAAAGTGTCGACAGTTGGCACTCATTTTTGTTGCAACATGGATATCGTTCCAATTTAATTATAAAATTCGAAATGCGATTTTTACACAAACTGCTCTACAGCTTTGACAGCTAAGTACAAAAGGTAACTGTAAGGAATGAGTATTATCGATGATATCCTTAGTATTTCATCGAGTTGTTACGAGTAGATCCTTATTCAGTTTTGAAGCCGTAAATATCTTGTAGCCTGAACATCATGCCATGATAAAGCAGATACTTCCAGTGGTAAATTATAAAGGGGATATTATGCTTGGTACATGATGGTTTTGGTGTAGTAGGTATTTAAGCCTTTCCACCCGCCTTGGGTGCTTCTAGGCTATTTATACTTCATTTGGTTGCATGTATGGTAGATGACGCAAGAAGAAAGATGACAAGAATGCAGAAAATTGGACTTGCTAGTGGTAGCTCTCAGGGTCGAATTAAGAGGCCCGGTCGGTTCGCCTAGAATTTGTTAAGCATATTTTTGAAGGCGTTTAAGGAGGGAGCAACTACAATGCTGCCTGGAAGACCAGTCCATGTGGACACGACCCTCTGTGAAAACAAGCTAGCTATTACGTTTCGTCTGCTGCGTTCCTGGGCCTGCTTCAAGCTGATACCATAGCTTTTTTTCTATTTCTTGTCTTAAAATTTCAATGATTCCTCATTCTCAGGATCTGCCACGAACGTCTTCCCGCCGCTGTGGGTTGGCATCTCCGCGGAGAAAAGCACCGACGTCCCGGACTCGGAGGAGCTGCAGTGGCGTTGGGCGACCGGTCGTGTCGAACCACACGTGAATGACATCAAACTCGCTCAACTTCATAAGGCTAATGTTACTACACATGGAATGAAAAATATATTAGATGCAAAAAACGAATTACTCCTCATATTTCACAATCAGTTCCAAACACGAGAAAGTTGAATTCCATTATTTCGTTCTAAAAAGCTCGTGATCTCGGCTACAATTAATTAATTCCCTCGAATCGTCCAAGAAAGAAGACTTATTGACCTTCTAAGTAAACAAAGTATAATTTTTCCAGCCATCTGCTTTGATGGCAACGTTACGCCCGACCGAGGAGCGCTGCGGGTTCCTGGATTCGCTGTCGTCGGCCTACATAAGCCTCACCGTCGACTGCCGCGATCGCAAGCGCGCGCTGTGCGAGGCTCCGCCGCTCTAACGACCATCACGACCCCTGATGAACTACGCAGATTACCGACGCACTGGAACGCTCTATGAGGATCTAACTTCGTCTTAATTTTATTCACCTTGGACTTGAATATTCTCTGCAAAATCACTTGCGTTTTTGCTTTATTCCGGGCAGTAGGAAGCCACTTATTTCAAGTAAGAAGCTCAGCCACAACCGTTGACCACATTTGGCAATTTTTTCACAATTTACAGGCTTCTTATCTCCATAATTTTGTTTCTCATTATCGATTAAACATGAAATTTATTAATATGAAAAATACGTATTGTTTTGCCCACATAACGTTGAAAATTATGGTGACTAGGGAAAGATTATATTTCTCATAAAATCAAATTAATTTCACTCAAAAAGTCAAATCGGCTAATTTCTTTAAATTTCTGTTCATGTATTTTTCTAATAATTTCAATCAGATAGACATTTTCATTTAAAAATATCGATAATGCAAATGAGAGTAATGACTTAGTTCGTCATATTATCATATAACGCCTGAATTTGGAGACTTTTCTTGTATTATCAAATGAATTAGACAATATGTTATAAAACATCGCTGCATAAATTGCTTTTGTTTTCCCTCCGTTTATCTTTAGCAATAGATACAAAATCAAATTAATATTAGAAGAGTGAAGAGCGAGAGTAAGACGTTGTAGAATGACGATTAATTTACGAAGACGAATGACGTAGAAAGACTNAAAAAAAAACTCGCGAACGAAGGCACAATCGAAAAATTTTTAGTTAGGACTGTAAATTCAAAATTTCGTTCGAATCTGCTCAGTAGTTTGGAAGAAATTACTTGATCACTGTGAATTTTGGCCCGTATTGGCATATAACTATGGCAAAAACGAATGATGGCAAAATTCAAACAATTTTCACGAGCAAAACATTACCGTTAGGTCCTAATGAATACGTGTACCAAGTTTCATCGAGTTAAGTTCATTAGTTTGAGAGATATTCCTTGATGATTGAATTTGAAAATTGGCCGTGAGACCGGCCGCGAGTCCGGCCGTTAATTTGTCCGAGACGTAAACCCAGGAGAGCTAGGTTAAAAAAAAACAGCAAAAACCATCGCTGTGAGTCATGTGCTGCACGTGTTGTGTACAAATCGTCTAACAAATGTTCGAACTTCTGACATTGACTTTGGACAGCCGCCCCCCATATCGCCCCCATACCGACCTCTTCTTCCTTATCGCCCCCCAAAATCTTTCCACCGCCACTAGGGGGGCGATATCGCCCACTTTGGGAACCACTGCTCTATGAGGATCGAACTTTGTCTTGCTTTCATTCACCTTGGAATCGAATCTTTTCTGCAAAATCACTTGCGTTTTTAGCTTTCTTCCGGGCAGTAGGAAGCCGCTTATTTCAACTGAGAAGCTCAGCCGCTACCGTTGACCACATTTGCCATTTTTTCACAATATACAGGGTTCTTATCTCCCAAAATTTGTTTTCCACTGTCGATTAAACATAAAATTTAATAATATACGTACGCATTGCTTTGCCTGTTTAAAGTTAAAAATTATATTGACTAAGAAAAGATTTTATTCCGCTCAAAATCAAATTAATTTCTCTCAAAAAGTCGTATCGGCCGATTTCGTCAAATTTCTGTTCATTTATTTTTCTAACAATTTCAATCAGATGGGCATTTTCATTTGAAAATATCGATAATGCAATTGAAAATAATGACTTATTTCTTCAAATTATCATATAACACCTGAATTTTGAGAATTTTGTTGCAAATTAACAAACATCCCTGCATAAATTCCTAAATAAACATCCCACATTGAATAAGTTTTTATTTCACCTTGTATGATCACTCAGAACTCTCTGGGTTAAATATTTCTTAGGAATAACCTCTTAATCCCAGAAACCTGACGAAGACATTGATGCTTTAAGCATCAATATCAAGTAGCCCTTAACTTTATTTCGTAACTCCGCAATATCTGTGTTCTACTTCTTCAGTAGCCATACGAGTTTAACCTCCAAAACCTAGTAAAACCTAGTTGCGGTAATGAGTAAAGTCTTGTGACAGTGAGTGATTTTTGTGACCGTGATTTGAATTTTTGTAGAACGTGGAGTGAAGATTGGCAGCCGTGGTGTCAGTGCTTCCTTTTTTCCACATGACCACTCCTAACTCACTCCATTACATAACATAACATAGTGATGTCGGCGCTGAAGTGTAGGCCTGATATTGCCTGTCGCCGATCCTTTTACTTTTCGTGCGTTGTTCACAGAGGATCTAAAATCGTGTCATTTGATCGGATCTTTTCAGGACTGACGATAGTTTGATTGATACTAGATTTCCACCGGGTTCGATATGGTGCTAGGCATTTCAAGTCTGAACATGTTAGGTTTTTTGAAAGAATACTGTCAATATGGGCCGGCCAGAACGGTTGCTAATTCTTTGAGCAATCTGGGATGGAAGCCGTTTGGTCCACATGACTTATTGGGATTTAGAGCTTCCAGGCGCTTGAGAACCTCTTCTTCGTGTATTTCAAAACCTGTTAACTTCGAACCGGTTGGGCGCTCCTCAATATCTGGAATACTGTTCAAGTCCTCATCTGTGAACACCTGCTAAAGAACTTATTAAGAACGTTAGCCTTGCCCTCATCAGATGAAATCTTTCGTTGGTCTACTTTCAAATCAGATAAACCGTCCCTTGTCCTACACTTCGAACTAGCGTACAAAAAGAAGGCTTTCGGATTCTTTTTTGCATTTTTAGCAATATTTGTTTCGAAGTTTTTCACTGCAGTGCGACAGACTTTTTTTAGCTTGATTTCGAGCTGTTGCATACAGGTTATAATCAGAATCGCTGCGAGTTCGTAAATAAGGCTTGTAGGCTTCTTTCTTGGTCTTTAGCTGAGCTTTAACTGTACTGTACATCCATTGAGACTTTTTGACTCTTCCAAGTGTAATTTTAGGTACACAGGCATCTACTGCAGACATAACAGTGTATTTGAGAAATGACCATGAATCAGCCACATTCGTGTCCTTAATACAGTCCGAGATATTCGCCGCATTCACTGCTTCACGGAGTTTATCATAGTCGCCTTTCGCAAGTTCAAACGTTCACGTTTCCGAAGAGTCTTTTCTGCACAGCACTTAATACTGAAAAACAATGATTGGTGGTGGCTTTTGCCCAACGGAGCCTCGTGGCGAAGCTCATCTATCATTGATTCTTCACTAGTAAACACAAGATCTAGAATATTTGGGGTCTGTTTATCCTAAAATATGTTGGCTTGGTGATGTTCTGGATTAAAAATGAGTCTCGCACAGACTCCAAGAACAGGGATGCTGGATGATTACCATCTCTTGGAGAAGATTCATCTGCCCAGTCTATTTATTTCTGGATGGTTAAAGTCACCAACGATCAACGTATGCGACCTGCTGAATGACATGCTCGGTAAAAGGCTGTTTAGTACTTTATTGTTATCAGAGGAGCTGATAACAATATAGGTGATCTAATAGGTGATCTATAAATGACCCCCATGAGGAGGCTATCATTACCTCTTAGAGTTATTTCGCACCTCACTGATTCTCTAGCTGATTGATGCTCTGCAGATAACTTAACTTGCGGGGCCCCCATAAGAGGTTTTAACCCACAGAGCTACACCTCTACTGCACTGCTCTTTATTTAAGTTATGAAAACAATCAAAACCTGGCAGCTGAAATTCAACAGGTACAATTTTCCCCCCGTGATTTTTAGGGAGTGTTTCTGTAATACAAATAATGTCTATACACTCGTTTGCGATCACGGTTAACAGTTCATTATTTTTTTGTCCAAAACGGAATCCGAGTACGTGTAAAAACATTTTAAAATTTTTTGTGCACTTACACTTTGATGTATGCGGTTGCTTCCTATATTATTTACAGGCCTTGATCTAAGGACATCATTTCTACTAATTACTTGTCCTCCATCTCCTCTGACCGACCGTGAGCAGCCGGTGTTGTCTTGACAGCTTGGATGTGATTGACCTGATTTTCCGTGCCTTTCCGTCCGATTATCTCATGCCATTTCTTGCGAAAAACCGCCCTCTCTAAAGGGGTGGAATCTTTCTTTACAAAAACTGACTTGTAATCAGCGGATTCTCCAAGCTTTCTCGCTGTTTTCAGCACGCTCCAGACCTGAGCAGAATCCTTTACAGTCACCAACTGAGGTCTGCAGGTGTTGGCAGCAGAATCCTTCGAGCGTAGCCTCTTGCACGATGTAACAGCAATCGGTGTGCTGAGTACCTTGCTGCAACATTCTTCAACAAGTGCTAAGTCATCCATCACTCGGTCCTTCGCATCACATGCGGTACTTTCGGGAATCCCAAACCAAACCAGGTTGGCCTTCCTACGTTCTCTATCAAGTAATTCACGTGAGCTTTCGTTCACCTGAATTAGCAGCTATAATAACAGTTAAGCAAGTTCAGTCATTGTATCGCTGATGAATTAGGAAAGGCGGAAAAATGACAAAAATTGCTGATGAAATAATTTTAAAATCAAAACTTGTTGTTGGGAAACTGAAGGTTTTACCGCAACAAATCCAATGGTGACGATTCTCAGTTTGAACTCGCATATTTATCTGTAAAAATTATGTAAACATCATCAATAGACTTAAAATTTTTCGACTTCTATTGTTTATTGTTTAATTGATTACTATAGCCGCATTATCTTCATCTAATTAAACGCTTCAGTTGTGCATGGACCAGTAGATATAAAAATAATCCTTATATACTTTGCGAGACATGGTTTGTTGAATGTCTACATTTGAGCACAAAAATCATATTAGTTTGTCGCACAAATTAATATTCCCTAATGATTTCAAAAAAAATGTATTCAAAGAAACGAGGAAAACGTGAATTTGACTAAATGTGTTTGTGGCAAGACAAGACTATAGAGAAGAAAGTTTTGTAAAATACACGAGACATAAGTCATTTTTTCTATCATGCGATAAATGTATTCATGTTCTCAGTTTGAGTTGATCACAATACTTTCTTGTCATATGTCACTCTAATGAGTTAAATTGAAGCTGTTGATGAGCTAAGTTGAAGCAGTTAATGAGCATTGCTGATATGATATAGAAGTGCAAAGACTGACATATTTTTGGCATAGTTGTAACGAACAACATTTTGGCGAACTAATATTTTCAATACTTGACAAGCTGCATATAGCATATTCGATTGATGTCGAAAGATTTTTCAACATAATAGTTGAGAATCAAATTGGAAATTGTTCAAAAAGGCGATACCAAAATAATAATGACCAACATTGAGTTCCATAAAAAAAATGAATATGAATTTGACCCTTTCTACCTCAAAATTTATGAAGGGTGACCGCGAAAGTCCACTCCAGCAGCAGTTATTAGTGTTGGCAGCAGCGAATGCAGCAGCTGTCTGGGAGAATTCAATTACCGATGCCACCAGAATCAAAATTCTCCTAATTTGAGCAGAAAAGAATTTTCCTAATAAGCTTTGTTTATGTGATATAGACAGCAAAATTTACAATCCTCATAGCTTCATTTTACAGGATTTAAAAATTTATATTTTAATACAAAATAAAAGTGATCTCTAATATGTTTAATTCCATGAAAAGAATGCAAAGAATAATAAACTTTGAAAGTCGATAAAGAAAATATGTGCTTATGATTCTACTCAGTAATTATGGTTTGCATGAGTGATGCCACTTCACAACTTTGGAAAGAGGACCGAGTGCTACCAACGACTGAAAGTTCCCTGGGATTTGTGAACCCTTTCTCCCACAACCCGAAACCCCAAAATCTTTTTGATAATTTCAAACAAAAGCAGTATTAATTGCACAAAGAGCCGATCCAGCCCACATATGAATAAAAATTATACCTACAAATGGCAAATTCACATTCATAATTTTCATACGGCTCCCTCTTCACATTTCTCAATGTTTAAGAATTCACGGTGAACAATATAATTCACTGCAGAGCAATTTTTTATCTGACAGGTCTCTGGGATACCCGAACGCCGTCTATACATTTACAGCGTCAGACGACCACAATCATATAATACGATCGATAATAGATATTCAAAATACATTTATTCTGATTTTAGTAGTGATAAAGTACTAATAATGAGGGAGAAAAAAAATTCTAAAGATGTTGTTAATACCAATTTAAACAGATTTGAATCAACGCTTGTTTAGCATTGACTTTCGGAAAATATTTACTACATTACATGAATACGAACACATTAAAAATGCAATAATGTAAAGAAGTTTTTTCTAAATAATATCATATGATATGTGAGATTTTATTCTGGATTGAATAAATAAACTTTGGACACCCATCACACGCAGGGCTGCATTAATGTTTCGTTTTCTACGTCACGCTTAATGAATGTTTGTCAGAACGACCCTCACGCACACCTTTGCTTCACTTTAGCCTAATGCTACATTAGTCCCGTTTATTCATTATATTAGATATATTGTTTTCAAGGAACGAATTTCTATTGTTCTCTCATTACCACAGTATCAAAAGATAAAGATGGCTTTAAATAAATTTAAATAAATTTTCGATGAATTTATTCGGGATCTTGAAGTAGCACTTCGAAAGTAGCACTTTAAGTGGCTGCTCTTGTTCCTAGAGCTCACGTCATCGGTTACGGTTCAATCATTGTTGATCCTCGTCTTCGGAGTTTGACAATTGGACGGTTATAAATAGCTGCGGTGGACCGAATACCGAAACGTGAAAATTATTCATTTTGGAGAATAGGAAGGCATTGCAAGTTGTCTAGGAACGGATAGAATCATCGATATGCATTTAATTATTAAATTGGAGTACAGTAGTTTAATTTAGAGGACGCAACAATGTTTTTATATTTTTAAACGAGAGCCTGGCGAAATTTTATCCATGTAATATCTAGCCATAGAAGGACATTTTTTAATGAGCATTATATTCAGCCATATACAGCGTTACCGTGATTGATCAGCTTAACCGTAGTTCGCGGGATCCAGGATAGCAGGATTTATAACCGTCCGTATAAGAGGATCTACAATGATTGAACCATAACCGATGACGTGAGCTCTAGGAACAAGAGCAGCCACTTAAAGTGCTACTTTCGAAGTGCTACTTCAAGATCCCGAATAAATTCATCGAAAATTTATTTAAAATTATTTAAAGCCATAAAATAAAAGATGGCTTTTATTTTACCCAAAGTTTTGTCGTTTCGGCGGGTGGCTTCAGCTCTTGATGGCAGTTCTGCTCTGTACGGTCGCAAGTGCTAATCCTACCGATGGCACCGGAGAGATTTTTACGTAATTGCAATCATTTTGAATGAAATCCATCTCAAATCTCACATAATTAATCGAATTCATTGAAGCTGAGTTCTTACTTTTCCCTCATTTACTTACTACCAACACGAGATGCCATACGAAACCGTGTACACGAAGAAGGTTTTGCTGCGATTTATATTTCCGGGAGTCGGACCGTTTCCTCGAATGTTCTTTCACATAAGAAAAGCTATACAATTTCATCTCATTCTTCTTTTTATTCATTGCGTGCATATTATATTCATTGGAGATATGGGTGTCGTGTAATTGACGATCATAAAATGAAAGAAATCCTGCCTTTTTATCACATGAACCAGTTTTTGTAATCGCCATGCTTTTCATTATAATCTAACCAGTTGAAAACAACTTAAAAGCATGATTTTTCACTATATTCTTTTAAATGCTCTATATGTAACGAAGTCATGTGATATCTTCAGCACTGTCTGATGAAATCGTTGGCGAATAATTCATTAATGCAAATAGTGAGTTCCAGTATAAATATTATGTCAAAATACCTGCCAGTATATTCTCAAAGAGTCAATAATGTTGTATTTCCCCATTTTTATGCAGGCAATGTTGATTCGCCCCTGATAAAATAGAGGGAAATTTTTTGACACCAATAAAATCGATTATTTGCAATTATTCAAAATTTATAAGAATTATGGGCAGTGCAATCACAAGCCTATTTCATCACCGAGTTTCCATGCACAGAGCCGTGCAATAACGGCCAGTTCGTGTGCGCCAACGGCCGCTGCATTCCTGGTCACTTCAGGTGTGACAACGACGACGACTGCCACGATGGCAGCGATGAACTCGAGTGTATTGGACGTAAGTTTACAGCAACGATTTCTTGTCTTTCTGGCTATACTGGTTATGAATTTATTCTACAATGTGTTGGAAAACACGAGAAGGTATTAGTAACGTTTAACTTTACATAACTTAGCCAGCGGTCCAATCCGATTTGAAGAAATGGCGGAATAGCATTATCATTTTAAATCATCGTACTATTACGAAATGATTGTATCTAACGCGCGAAAATAATTATTTTTAATTCGTTTTGTTTTCAATTTCATATTAAAAGCATACTTTAGTATAAGGCTCAGTCTTAAGATACTTGATTATACATTTTCTTCGGAGTCTGTCGTAGAACTATTGATATTAATTAATTTCAAAAGTACGATTCTGAAACGAACTTATCCGAGTAGCTTATTTAGCCTTATATGCGATGCTTTTATACTGCTGATCGGCAAGCGTATACACGATGCTTCTATACTGCAGGGGCCATACTTTCAAAACTCGCTAAGTGAACGTAAGGACTTACGCTCTATTTTCTTGTCTATGATTGGTTGATTTTGCTTGAAAGGCCGTCATTGATTGGGAGATGAACTTATGATCTTTCAACTTTTTTTGAAAGTATAGGCCCTGATCAACAAGAAATACCAAGCTTGTATATAAAATAATTGTGTTAACAAGTTAACAGGTTGTGCAGGTAACACGTTAAATCTGTTTAAGAAGCAGGTTAACATTTCGATTAGATTCCCGGAATAGTTGTATCAAATCCCAAATATCTGATATTCCCATTATCAAATTGTCTTTTCAGTTATTTATTAAATTATTTATCCAGGGTAATCTTATAACGAGCTATCCGTTCAAACCCATTTTTAACTTTGAACGAGCTTGAAGTTTTTAACTTTTAATACAATTCAAATTCTGAAAAGTTTCAGCTTTTAATGTTATTCCAATGTTCAATTTTACCTTTCCCTCCTTCTTTCCATATTACTAACTCTATAACTAACCTAGGAAATTTTACAATAGAATAAATGAATAATAAGAAGCTTGTAAATAATTTAAAAACTCATTGTCCGACAGCTGGCCAGAACTGCACAATTAATGGCAGTGACGTGATGGCAGCGACGAACTTGACTGCATTCTTCGTAAGTCTCACTTTACTGTTTTTTCTTATTGTCCCCGTATTTAGTGCCGTTATATTGATTCTAAAATATAGGAGGAAATAAACAAATTAAAAGAAACTATATAATCCTTGCTATGCATATTGTGTAATCACGAGCACAATGATTGCTCACGAATATTTTGATTTTATCTTAATTAGTTATTTCCTTGGTGTGGCAGTGACTTAACGTTTACAATTTTTAACCCTCAATTTTCAATATATTTCATCACGCCATGAAATTGAATGCTGATACACCTAAATTTATTTAAGTGTTTTGAGACGGGTATAAAAAAAATCTCTAGGATAAATTAGATTCTGATTCGAAAATGGCGTTGAAATACATTGTCGGGAATGCAGTGCATCGACATATGATGTATATTTATCTACTGTACGAGTTTATTTCAGCTGGCAGGGTCTGCACTATCAGTCAGTTTGAGTGCATGAATGGCAACTGCATTAAGACTCGCTACCGCTGTGACGGCCAAAGCGACTGTCAGGATTCGAGCCACGAGGAAGACTGTGCCGATGGTGAGTCAAGATATTCTGCACATTTCTGTGTTGCAAAATATGCTCACATTTCTGTGGTGAAAGATATGCTGCAAATTTCTGTGGTGCAAGATATGCTGCCCATTTCAGTGCAAGATATGCACTGAAGAGGACTTGAACAGTATTCCAGCTATAGAGGAGCGCCCAGTCGGCTCTAAATTAACAAGCTTTGAAATACAAGAAGAAGAGGTTCTCAAGCGCCTTATGGCTGTAAATCCAAACAAGTCATGTGGACCAGACGGCTTCCACCCCAGATTACTCAAAGAGTTAGCAACTGTCCTAGCCGGCCCTCTGACGTCACTTCTTCGAAAAACTTTGAACGAAGGAACTCTGCCGGCTGACTGGAAAGAAGCTCAAGTGACACCATTGTTCAAAAAAGGTGACAAAAGCTGCCCGGGCAACTATCGCCCTGTCAGTTTGACAAGTGTCGTTTGCAAGATAATGGAATCTGTTGGCCTATTCTATTCGTTGTGTTTATAAACGATCTGTCAGAAGCTGTGTCTAGCGTTTGCTCGATGTATGCTGACGACACAAAAATTTATAATACAGTGAAGAATACGTCACAAAAAGTACAGTTGCAAGGTGATCTTAACAGGCTGGTTGACTGGGCTGATAAGTGGCAGCTGCGTTTTAACGCTGACAAATGTAAAGTTATCCATCTTGGCAAGAATAATGAACAGCAAGATTACAGTATGAGAAGACACGGTTGCAACGACAGAGTGATGATGTCGAAGTCGACAACGGAAAAGGATTTAGGAGTTAATATCGACAATGAGTTGAAATTTTCTAAGCATATTGAAGGTCAAGTTAATAA